AATACTTGGTAGAATTCACCAATGAAACCAACCATGTGGTCTCACAGTTTTGTTTGCTGGGGGACTTTGGTTCCTAATTCAACTTTCATTCTTGTTATTACTGTAAGAAGATTTCCTATTTCTTGGATCTAAGATCTAAGATCTGGTGGGTTTTTTTTTTATAAGTTATCTGATTTGTTAGTATATAATTGTTTATAGTAATCTTTATCACAAGGCATATTTCTATGAGTAGATGTCATATTGTTTTCTCTTCCACATTTGATTTTGAATTTTGAGTCTTCTCTCTGTTTTTCTTAGTTAATATAGTTAAAGCATTGCCAAGTTTGCTTACTTGTTTTAGAAAAACTTGTCATTACCTTCAATATTGTATTATTGTTCATTCTGGTCTCTATTTTATTTATTTCTGATTTTTGTTATCTCCTCTACTAAATTTAAGCAAAGTTCTTCTTTCTCTAGTTCTTTGTGATATAATGTTTATTTAAACTTTTTTTCTTAATACAAACATTTATAGTATAAATTTCACTCCAACATCTGCCTTTGCTGCATCCCATAGATTTTAGAATATTGTGTTTCCTTTTCCTTTTGTTTTGAGGCATATTTTGATACCCCTTGGTTTTATTTGGCCCATTGCTTGTGTAGTACCATGTTAATATTTACATATTAAATATTAAATGTTTACATTGTAGACTTTCCAGCTTTGTTTTGTTGTTGCACAATTGTGGTTGAAAAATATACTTGGTATGATTTCAGTCTTCCCAAATTTGTGATATTTGTTATGTATCTTTATTATGTGATTTAAGAGGGGATTTTTCTGTGTGTACTTGAAGAAAATGTGTATGTTATTTTTCTTGGAGGGAATGTTTTATATATATATCCTTTAGAACCAGGTATTCTGAAGTATACTTCAAGTAAAAAAATGTTCTTGTTGAAAAATAGTAACAATTGCTTTAAAGGAGGGTACACATTTAAAATAAAGCATATCAGAGGAGAGGTGGGTAGGGGATGGGTGAAAGAGGCAAAGAATACTAAGAGTACACTTATCATTCTAAGCACTGAGTAATGGTGTACAAAATGTCGAATCACTACATTGTACACTTTAAACTAACATAACACTGTATATTAACTATACAATAATACTAAAATAATAATATTAGAAAACCATTGGAAAATATCAAAACCAGTAGTAATTCTAAATCTAGGAATTATTGAAGCAGATGTCAAGAGAAAGTGAATCCATGATGTTGAGTGTTAAAATTATGTTTAAGTAAGTGTAATAGTATTAATTTTGTAAGAAATTGCATTTGGATGTTTTTGCCTATTCTTTAATATGTCTGAAGGTGTCACAATAACCAAATACATGTAATTTAGGAAAAAAAACTTTAATGAAAGTTAATTGATTGCATAATCTGTTCAAAGCTACAAAAAAGGATTTTTACATGTTTATATATTATGTTATAAATTTTAAAATTGAGTATTAAAACATATGTGCAATAAAAATAAAAATTTTAAAAATGACAAACGGTCTGTATTTTAATATAAAAGTACAGGTATATTCTTTTTCAAGAAAGATTGTCAAACTTCTATCTATATTATTCTTCTCCAGTATCTAGTATATACTTTTACCTTTAAGGTAACACTTTTTAATACTACATTTTTCCCCTTATAAACATCTCTGTATAAAGAAATTTTCCAGTTATTTCTAAAGCTTTTTATAATTTATACATAATGTTGTACAAGTTTCAGGTATACAACATAGTGCTTCATATTTGTATATAGTGTAAAACAACCACAATAATTATAGTCAACATTCATCACCATACATACATATATATATATATACCATACATGAAACTCTTATATACGACAATCCACATTTGTAGAAAGATAGGGAAAACCTCAGTTCTAAAATTGGCATTGCTCACAACAGAGAAAGAGACCATTTTTTTATGTATAGTGATTCAAATGATATCTTAGAGTGAAATATTTCCCTTTTCATGTCTTCCTTTATGCTTCATCATTACTGAATTTCAAAAATATTAATGATGTGATTAAGAAAATCCAAGGATGACAGTCTTTAGAGATATTGATAATAATAGCTGACATTTTCAAAGCTCTTTGTGATTTACACAGTTCTTTAATATAGATTGTCTCATTTAATTATCACATCACTCCCTAGGAGTTAATAAAATTATGTATAATTACTCCCAGTTTAACAATAAGAAAACTGAGTTAATAAGTAACAGAATAATGGAAGCCAGGTATTTGAATCTTAAGTTCAATATTCTTTCCATGGCAACTCTCTTCTCCAGACAAATATTAACTTTATAGCTATATGATTTCTCTAACTTTTCTAGATACCAGTATAATCAAGACAATGGGTAAAGGCCAACTCTTTTTACATACTAAAATTAATTCTTATTAGAAAAATGTTTAACATCTACACTTACTTTGCCTTAAAAAATAGCTTTAAGGGGCGCCTGTGGCTCAGAAGTTTGAGTGTCTGGCTCTTGATTTTAGCTCAGGTCATGATCTCATAGTTTGTGAGACTGAGTGCTATGTTGGGCTCTGCACTGTGAGCACAGAGCATGCTTAGGATACTCTCTCTCCTTCTCTCCATCCCTTCCCCTCACTGCCACCAAAAGTAAATAAAAACACTTTAATAAAAACTTTAAAAAATAAATTAAAAGAGAGAAATAGCTTTAATCCTAACCAGGAAAACTTTAAAGTAAATTCTTTTTAAAAAGAACCCTATGTTTATTACTAATTCCTATGGGAAAAATACTTCAAAAGTCAAGTTGAAAAACCTGTATGATAAAACATTACAATTTGGGGCAAACTTGTAGTGAGACAGTAGTAGCTTGGTAATATTTATAAAATATTTTTAAGAATATATCCAAGAATTAGTTTCCATGAAAGTACAATGTACTTAATACTCATTTCATGACATAAATATTAGGCATCGACTAAGTCTCAGGCATCTTTCTTCAAATTTTCCATGTCAAGTAGATTAAAGGAAATAAATATTTTTCTTTTCTAATATGTTAAATTATATCAAATAAGATAGATTTGAGAGATAATCAGAAGCCACTGAAACAAAAATACATTTTAATAAATATAGTCAATTTTATATACATTTAGTAAACTGATATTTTAGTAAACACAAACAAGAAATAGATTTCATTTATGTGATATCTGTCTTGATTATGGGCTAACAGTTTTCAAAGGTAATAGTTTATATGGTTTTGATTACAGTTATTATATACAATATTCAATAATAAACCAGTAATCAACAATGAGTAGTTAATGTCACTATGGCAAAACTCACTGAACAAAACGACTCTATATATTCAAAAGAAAGTTAGCAAACTCAAGCAATAATTCAAAGGAGATCAGGAACTGAAACAGTATGCCAAGCAGCACTCTGAAAAATTTGCTGTGTCAAATTCCCAGTGCATCCATTAGGTGTCAATACAATAACACAGTGAGCATCAGGGCCAATAGTGCAAACCACTTCTGAGAAATGAACTAAGAATAGAGAGAATGCTTGTTCTAGTAACTTATCATTCCATGGATTATCATACACTTCTCTCTAAACCATAAAATATCAAAAAGTACATCCATAGATAGTATTAAATTTGTATAATGTGCGAAAACATTTCTATGAATGTAAACATAAGTGAATAAATGATCATACAAATTATCTATTATTCTTTTATTCACCACTTTTTTTTAAATTTTAAGTTTATTTAATTATTTATTTTGAGAGAGAGAAAGAAAGAACACAAGCAGTGGAGGGGAAGAGGGACAGGGAGAGAATCCCAAGCTGGCTCCACATCCGAGGAAGGGTTTGAACTCACAAATAGTGAGATCATGACCTGAGCCAAGAATAACACACTTAACCAACTGAACCACCCAGGCACCCCTCACCACCACCTTTTTAAAAGTAGGAGCTTATTTTAAAATTTCCCCTCACTTTACAATACAAAGCCTTGTTTCTTTAAACTTTTTTTTACAAATATCTTAAAATATAATGTTCCTATATGGTAGTTCCACTTATCTAATTTTTGGTTTTAATATGATCTTTAACAGAGAAAACTCCTCCTTAAGTATGTTTAATTTAAAAGAAAAATGAACAAAGCATGAACTTTCTCTACTCCATATCTAAGCATTGACTTTCCAATTAATATCTTATTTTTTTACTTTTTTAATTTTTTTAAATTTATTTCTTTATGAGAGATAGAGACAGCATGAGTGGGGGAGGGGCAGAGAGAGAGAGACAGAATCTGAAGCAGGCTCCAGGCTCCGAGCTGTCAGCACAGAGCCCGATAAGGGGCTCAAACCCACAGACTGTGAGATCATGACCTGAGCCAAAGTCTGATGCCCAACCAACTGAGCCACCCAGGTGCCCCCATTTAATATCATCTGAGATGAATAGATTCATCCCTAGTCAACATATTCACATATGTGCCTTTGCCAGAATAATAGTGTTTATTTAAATTTGTTCGTCAAAACTGCATGTCCTCCATTAGTTTCAGAAAGAAAGATTTGATTCTTCTCTATGTATAAATTTATGGTAGGAGATTGTAAAATAATAGTCTCTTTGGGGAAATTTTCAAATACTAAAATTCCTCTAATGAGACATACACTGTCTCCTTTCTTCCTCTCTGCCTTCTATAAATTTGTTATTATTTCAGAGATTATCTTATCCTCATAGGGGAAGATTTCACAAACCATGAAAAGATTATCAAAAACATAAGAAAGTGAGTGCCACAGAACAAATAACCACCTCCTATACAACTCCCTGCATTCCACTCTTGCTAGTGGATTGCAATTGTGAGATTTCTGATCATCAGTTCAATTAACTTGCTAGTGAGGACTTTCCCATTCATTCCAACTAGAATTTAAACAGAACTCAGTTCAGAATTAAAGCTCTGGTACATTGACCACGTGTTAACCTCATTCAGCTCTTTACTTTTATTTAGTCCAAAAGAAAAAATCATTTAAAAATTAACATACTTAGCTGCCTGTTTGTAGTGTTTCAAATCTTTCTTCAAATTTTTGTTCTCATTTTCTAAAAGCATATTCTGGGTGTAGACATCTGGAACATTCCCAAGATCTTTAAGTCCAGTTAGTCCTTTCTGTAATAACTCATACCTAGGATGAAATCAAACAAAAGGCTTTATATTGTTGCTTTTTACTAAACTGGCTTAATTTATGTACAATTCAAAAAGATAAGTCCTAGGAAATATTTATAGAAATGAGTTGTTGCATTAATTTTGTAAATTAAAATGTCAACATTCATAATATATATTTAAAATAACAATTCATTGCTAGGTACTCATATCATCATACTACATAAAATATAACCAAACATCTTGTATGTTCCAGGTGCTAATCTAGACATTGGTAAAATGAACAAAACAGTCCAAGCCCCCATCTATTCTAGTGTGGATGATGGTATGTTCTAAGAAGTAAAATAAAGCAGGATAAGATGATAGACTGAGGTGGAAATTGATGGGGATGTTTGTGATACTTTACATAGGATGAATCCAGAAAGTATGACTGATAAAGTGAAATTTGAGCAAAGAACTAAAAGATATAAAGGACTAAAGTTATGTAGATATGAAGGGGAAGAGCATTCTTGGCTGACAGAAAAGTAAATGTAAAGACTCTAAGAAAAGGAAATGCTTGACATGTATGATAAAAAGCAAAAAGCCAGTATCTCTGGAGTATCTGGAGCCAGCAGAAGGAAGAGAGTGGTGAAAAATAGTTAAGGAAGAGAGCCGGGAGCCAGAGAGAATATGATTTTACTTGAATCAGACTAAAGCCATTGGAAGGCTTTGAGAAACAAGTGACACTGATCAGATTTATGTTTTAAAAGGATTAGTCTGCCATCTCTTTGAAGAAACTGACTCTATAGGAGCAAGAGTAGAATCAGAGAGGCTAGTTAGGAGGCTGTTGCAATAATTCAAAAAGAGACAATGGTAGCATGAACAAAGTTGGTAGCAGTAGAGATTATGAGAAACAGGTCCCTTCTGGACAGGGTGTAAAAGTGGAGCCAACTTACTGATGAAGCCAAAAAAGATTTTCTTATGAATCAGCTGCCAAGTATTGGTTAAAAAAAAAAAAAAGTGGTCAAAGATGACTGCAAGGTTTCTGGAGGAACAACAGACAGCAATTTATGAGGATGGAAATGAATGCAGTAGGAAATGGGTGGTTAGAGAAATCAAGGAACTGCTTTCATTAATGTTAATTGCAATGTGAATATATTGCAAGTGAAGCTGAATACTGGGTCTAAATGTCCAGAGTTAAGGGGAAAAGTCAGGACATGGGATTCAAATGTGGGAATTATCAGTAAATAGATACTATTTAAAGTCATAAGACTGGACAAGGCCTAGAGCATGACTGTAAACAGAGAAGTAAAGAAGTGTCTGGACTGTTTCAAGAATTGGGAAGAGAAAGAAATACTACCAAACTAGAGACTAAGACAGACAGTGGGTAGTGAAACACTGAGTGAATATGAGAGCACCGTGGCTCATAAACCAAGTGAATAAAGTGTTCCAAGAAGGAAGAAATAAAAAACAGTGACAAATGCTGAAAACAGACTGAATAAAGAGGAATACTAAGGATCAGTCACTGAATTTGGCAATGTGCAGCATTGAGAAAACTTTCAGCAGAGTCATGGAGATAATAGTGCAACCATAGTAGACTTAAGGATAGAACATGATGGGGGCGCCTGGGTGGCTCAGTTGGTTAAGCGTCCGACTTCAGCTCAGGTCATAATCTCACGGTTCATGGGTTCTAGCCCCTCATCGGGCTCTGTGCTGACAGCTAGCTCACAGCCTGGAGCCTGCTTCAGATTCTGTGTCTCCCTCTCTCTCTGACCCTCCCCTGCTCACGCTGTCTCTCTCTCTCAGAAATAAACATTAAAAAAAATTTTTTTAATAAAATAAAGGAAGGACAGAACATGAGGAACTGGAAATAAACTCTTTCAAGGAGATATACCATAAAGCAGAGCCTAGAAAATCAAGATTATCTTAAAAAAGGATGTGGAGCTCAGGGTGTTTTTTGTCTTCTAGCCTTTTTAAAAATATAAGAAATATTATTATACATCTATATGCTTATGGGAATGATCCAGCAAGAAGGGAAAAAGTTTACAATACAGAGGGGCGCCTGGGTGGCTTAGTCAGTTAAGCGTCCGACTTTCGCTTAGGTCATGATCTCGCAGTTCGTGGGTTCGAGCCCCGCGTCGGGCTCTGTGCTGACTGCCAGCTCAGAGCCTGGAGCCTGTTTCAGTCTGTGACTCCCTCTCTCTCTGACCCTCCCTGCTCACGCTGTCTCTCTCTCTCTCTCTCCTAGAAATAAATAAAACATTAAAAAAATAAAATAAAAAAAAATAAAAGTTTACAATACAGAGAAACGAGAGGACAATTGCTGAAGCAATGTCCTTAAGTAGCTGGGCTCCAGTAGACAACTGGAGTGTTGGCCTTAGATGGCAGTGTGTATGGCTCAGCTTCTGTGACAGGTGAGAAGAATGCCTGAGAACAGAGGTGGCACGTTGGTAAGTAGAGAGGGAGGCAGAGATCATAGAATATCTATTTCGTCAGTGAATTGAGGAACATCAGAGAATCATTTACAGATTTTTAAATGATTATAGTTTTAAATTATATGTATACATGTAGCAATTAATAAAGCTAAATAAAAAAACAGTATAAACACAGAAAAACATTTCAGTAATAAAGTAACAAAGAAATACCTACACAGCTTGTTATAGGTAAGTGAAATATTTGTTTAAAAATGTTTAATTATCAGTATTTTCATGTTATAAATCATAATTTTATTAATATGTTATACATTAATAGAAGCCCTGAAGAATACCCAAAGGGTTAAGATTACAGAATCAATATTAAGTAGGGGCATCTGATGGCTCAGTCAGTTAAGTGTCCGACTTTGGCTCAGGCTCAGATGATGATCTCACAACTTGTGAGTTCAAGCCCCACTGTCAGGCTCTGTGCTGACAGCTGTTTTTCTCTCTTAAAAATAAATAAAGATTAATTTTTTTATAAAAAGAATCATTATTAAGTAATATTTGCCACAATTTATAAAACAAAACAGATAACCATTTAATAATAAATTCACTATTTCATAAATAGAATGTGATTTATATTTATCTCAGAAGAAAAGATATAAGAATTGATTGAAGTATTAGACCATAAAGTTTTTCTGACCATGAAATTGGTATTCAGCAACGTGCTTAATTTAATACAGGAAAAAACTCACTAAAGAAATTATTTCAATAAGAAAAAAGGAGTATATAGTCCTTTCTACATTAAATGCTATGTAAATAAATTAATATGTGGTAAAATAAACACAAATCAGGCATACTACACTATAACACGTACTATATCATATATATCTTAGGACATTCAAAACTAAGTGTATCATGACAAATTTCTGTAATCAATATAAAAATTCCAAAGATTATTTTAAACTCACTAAAACTGTTCAGATACTATAAGATCACTAGGAATCTTAATCCACAAACTCCAAAAATACATTTCTCAGTAAAACAAGAATTTTCTACATAAGATATTTTGTTTTGGTTTCAGGTAGGTGTGTGTGTGTGTGTGTGTGTGTGTGTGTGTGTGTGTGTGTGTTAAGGAAATATCCTGGCCTTTTTATTTCTTCCTCTTTATTCACTCACACTTAGAATAAGACTGAAAAGTGTTCAGATGGGGAAAAAATATTGCTATATAACTATGAGTAACTGGAAAAAAAATTAGTTTCAGTACTAATAGAACTGCCAATGACATTACTGCCAGTAAAATTACATTAATGGTCTTCACATTTACCATAAGATCCATAAAATACTTAGACTTATAGAGAAGTAGAGAATGTGCATGTATTCCAGAGAGAAAGTACATAGACTTTCATACAATTTGTCTATATACCAAAAGAGTTTAAGGCCCACTGACACAAATGAGAAATAGTATGACAGAATTTCAGTAAACACATCAATAGTGTCATAAGAGTAAGGGTTATTTTTCCTTCATGATGGCACCCAAGGCATAGGATGTAAAAGACAGGGAACAGTTACCTAGATGATAACAAACATCAAATGAGACTTTTTTCTCCATGTTTTCAGGGACAGTTACAGAAAATACTTCACCAACAAAGAAAAATTCCATTAGCTACTGCTAACCCACAGTGCAGACATTATTTGTGGTTCATAGAAAAAAACTCCTACTACACACACAATCTTTTTGTGTGTGAACAGCCAGAAAATAGTTTAGAATTTGAAAAAAAAAAAAAAAAAAAAAACTTTCTAGGCCGTATGTTCTCCACTGTGCTGTGAGTAACAGTGTTGTTGTAGCATGAATGCAGACACAGACTATACCTAAAAGAAAGNAAAAAAAAAAAAAAAAAAAAAAAAAGCTTTCTAGGCCGTATGTTCTCCACTGTGCTGTGAGTAACAGTGTTGTTGTAGCATGAATGCAGACACAGACTATACCTAAAAGAAAGGTCATGGCTATGTGCCAACAAAATTTTACTTACAAAAACAGAGGCAGGCCAGATTTGTTTGCTGACCTTGGATTTAAAGAATTTACTGCAATTACTGCTTAAAGATTAAAAGGCCACAAGTCGGGGCGCCTGGGTGGCTCAGTCGGTTGGGCAGCCGAATTCGGCTCAGGTCATGATCTCACAGTTCGTGGGTTCAGGCCCCGCATCGGGCTCTGTGCTGACAGCTAGCTCATAGCCTGGAGCCTGTTTCAGATCCTGTGTCTCCCTCTCTCTCTGACCCTCCCCTGCTTGCGCTCTCTCTCCCTCTCAGAAAATAAAACGTTAGAAAGAAAAAAAAGGCCACATGTCAAATTTTACTGCCCAGGTTTTTTGGTGACTTTAGGGTTTTTTGTTTTACAAACTAACAATGAGGGAACCTTGTTTTATCAACTTTTGTAAGATTAAATATATTCATAGCAATGAATACTATAAAACATTTTTATCTATAATAAAAACGATAATAAATATACTTAGTATTTCTATAGTCCTACTATGCAGAATAGTTAAAGGTTTCTGATCAAAGTAAAAACTGCTTCATGTGAAGAAAAAGTATCCAATACTGTGTAATCTTATCATAAACAGTTTGTAAATTTATTACAAACTGACATCTAGGGATAAGGATACAATTATTTCAACCATAGTATTACTAAACCATATTAATAAAGAGATATTTTATAAGAATATTACTTTAAGATTGTAGTATTATACTAAATGGCAGGCTTACACAGGGGTTCTATAAGTCCTAATTCTATTGCAGTTTCCTGAAATTTCATCTTAATTCAAATTGCTAAATCTAAAATGAAATCTGGTTCCAGATTTCTCAAAGGGAATCATTTCACACTTTGGACTATACAAACATGCAAGTACTACATGTCCTAACACATATTCTTAGAAGAAAAAAATAAACTGAGCCACATTAATTTTTCATTTCATTAGTACTGCAAATTAATCATCTACCTACTTTTACAGAAATGTATTTTCTACTACATTTGTAATTATTTCATAGGGACATTTTATAAATATTATTTGTGTAATTTCTAAAATTAGTAGGAAGACTATTATTTTTCTACCATCAAACTTATTCTGTTTCCTTAACTGTATTAATGAAAAATGATTCTTTTCATTAAATTTATTAACTTTAGATATGCAATTTAAAATAATAAAACTAATTGCTTCTATCTACTTGGTCTCCATAGATCAGAACCAAAAAAAGCAGCAAATAAAAACTAAAGCACAGATTAGTAGAAATTACAAATTGCTTCTTATATTTATTTAAAATTAGAATTTAGCCCCCAAATACTATACACATCTTAATATCATAGTATTCCCTTTCCATTATACGCAATGGCTTTTAAAGTTCAAACATATTTTTAAATGCAATTATTTAATGATATTTCATTAAGGAATATTAGGACTCTGAAAATATGCCTGAAGACATTACTGCTTTTTTTTTTTAATATTTTTATTTATTTCTAGGAGAGAGAGAGACAGCATGAGCAGGGGAGGGTCAGAGAGAGAGGGAGTCACAGACTCTGAAACAGGCTCCAGGCTCTGAGCTGGCAGTCAGCACAGAGCCCGACGCGGGGCTCGAACCCATGAACCCCGAGATCATGACCTAAGCCAAAGTCGGACGCTTAACCGACTAAGCCACCCAGGAGCCCCGACATTACTGCTTTAGCAAAGGAATAAAGACAGTATGCCTGATGATTTCAATAACCAACAAGTTATTAAAATTTTCCATTATAACAAGAAAATCTGCATTTAGACACCATTTGAAAATAAATGCTGCTTATTACCAAAGGAAGAAATATTTATAGAAAAAGAATAAATCAGTTGTGTGAGTAGTGAAAGGCAGTCCATTAAACTATAAGGAAAACAAGTAAAGTAGTACTGTTGGTAGGATATCTTAATGCAGGAAATAATACCCTTAATAATTATGCTGAACATATTAGAAAACTATTTTATAAAATACCTTGTCTTATACAACCCCAGGAGATATTCCATTTTCTTGATTTTTGAAAATTACCCAAATATAGGAAAGATGTTTAGTAAAAATTTCTTTTAAATCGATATCCTAATTATGCAAGTGTGAATGTGAGTGTGAGTGTGTGTGTGTGTGTGTGTGTGTGAGTGTGTGTCTTATGGTTTCAGTGGTGAGAATGGGAAAAGTTACCATCCATTTCACCCATTTTGCGTAAGGTGAGCAACTTCAAGTCTTCTAAGACACTTAAAAGTAGACATGTTAGCATTTCTGGAGAACAATTCATCCACATAATTGTTTACCATTCAGACTGAAAGCAATCAAGAGTTCTGGTCATTCCCATTTTGATTAGGAAATTGCAGAGAAAATCTTCTATTACTTCAGGTTGCTTTGAAGGAAAAACTGTTTTCTGCTCCTGAAATTTAAACATACAATTATTTATTTTGAAAACATAAAATCATCACTAAGCTTTTGTTAAGTTTATTTATTTTCTTTTTTTTAATGTTTATTTATTTTTAAGAGAGAGAGAGACAGAGTGCAAGTGGGAGGAGGGGCAAAGAGAGAGGGAGACAGAATCCAAAGCAGGCTCTAGGCTCAGGGCTGTCTGCACAGAGCCAGACAAGGGGCTCAAACCCACAAACCATGAGATCATGACCTGAGCTGAAGTTGGATAATTAACCAACTGAGCCACCCAGGCACCCTGTTTATTTTGAGAGAGAGAGAGAGAGAGAGAGTGAGAGAGCGTGTGCCCATAGGTGCAAGCAGGGGAGGGGCAGAGAGAGAGGGAGAGAGAAAATCTCAACCAGGCTCCACACTCAGCACAGAGCCCAACATGAGACTAGATCCTACAACCCTGGGATCATGACCTGAGGAAAAATCAAGAGTCAGATGGTTGACTGTGCCACCTAGGCACCCCTTTAAATAAGCTTTGATTACTGATACCAAAAGGCTGTTTACTTATTTTTCACCTGCTCATTTTTTCATCTATTTTTTGTTAAGTGTTATATTCCAGGGACTATTTTAATCACTAGGAATAAAGCAGTATTGAACCTAGACAAGACTCAGTGTTCATACCTAATGCACAAATAGGTGGAGACAGAAAATGAACTAAATTAAAAATATATAATATGGAAGATGGCAAGAAAAAAAGCAGATGATTGAAGGGCAGAGGACCAAATGCAGTGCAGATATGTATGTGGAGCTGGGCTGTTATGTATGTTCATTGATGGAGGAAGATTTCACTGCTAAGATAGAACTTAAGCATAAATCTAAAGAAAGATAGAGTCATATTCCAGTTAAAGCATCAGCAAATAAAAGACACTGAGGCAAGAGTATGACTGAATTATCTAAAGAACAATAAGGAGGTCAGCTTGCCCATTCAGTAACATAATACACATTTAAAAAAGAAAAAAATGTATGAACCTTTTAATTCGTTCAATTATTATTATTAAAAGAAATATAGGGGTGTCTGGGTGGCTCAGTCAGTTAAGCATCCGACTTCAACTCAGGTCATGATATGGTTCATGAGTTCGAGCCCCACATCAGGCTACCTGCTGTCAGCACAGAGCCCATTTCAGATCTTCTGTCCCTTTCTCTCTCTGCCCTTCCCCTGCTCACACTCTCTCCCTCTCTCAAAAATAAACAGGGGAGAGGCATGAGCAGCCATGGAGCGCACACAGGGCCAGCCACCATGAGCATGGTGGAGAGCATGGGCCATGGAGCAGTGGTGTAACTCCTTCCCGTGACCGTCCTCTCAGCCCCTAGCAAGGGCACTGTGCAGCAGCGGCAGCGGCACTAGAGCTCGCGAACCCAAGCAGGCAGAGGTGCCCGGACATGGTGGTCCAGGGTAATGTGGAAGGCTACCTCAGGAAACAAGCCAAAGTACACATGGTGGAGTGTCCCAAATACCACCACCATTAGGGAAACAAAATAACCAAACTCTCAACAAGAGAAACCAAGAGACACCATTCAAAGAACACTTCATGAACGGACAGGCCGTGGACAGTCAAAGAGCCTTCTTTACTACAACATCACCCACAGGGGCAGAGTGCATAACAAGCCTTTAAAATTAACAAGGGATAGAAAGCTAATCAAATGATGAAACGGAAGAACTCTCCTCCAGGGAAATTCCAGGAAGAAATGACAGCTAAAGAACTGCTCAAAACAGATATAAGCAACATAACTGAACAAGAATTTAGAACAACAGTCATAAAATTAATCACTGGGCTTGAAAAAAGCATGGAAGACATCAGAGAAACTATTGCTACAAACACTATGGAGCTTAAAAATAGTTGTGATGAATTTAAAAATGCTATAAATGAGATACATAATAAAATGGAGGGATCCAATGCATGGATTGAAGAGGCAGAAAGGAGAATAAGTGATTTAGAAGACACAATTATAGAAAAAGTGAAAGCTGAGGAAAAGAGAGATAAACTGATTGAGGAACACAAAAGGACAGTTCGAGAGCTCAGCGATACAATCAAATGGAACAATATCTGTATCATAGGAATTCCAGAAGAGGAAGAGAGAGAGAAAGGTGCTGAAGGAGTCCTTGAAAAAATTATAGCAGAGAACTTCCCCAATCTGGGGAGGGAAGTAGACGTTGAAATTCAAGAGGAACAGCGAACTCCCCTAAACATAACTTGAATCGATCTTCTGCACAACATATCATAGTGAAACTGGCAAAATATAAGGACAAAGAGAGAATTCTGAAGGCAGCAACAGATAAAAGGTGCCCGAACATACAAAGAGAAACTTATCAGAGTGGTGATAGACCTATCTACTGAAACTTGGCAGGCCAGAAAGGAATGGCAGGAGATCTTCAATGTGATGAACAGAAAAAATATGCAGCCAAGAATCCTCAATCCATCAAGCCTGTCATTCAGAATAGAAGGAGAGATAAAAGTCTTTCCAAATAAACAAAAATTGAAAGAATTAATCAACACTAAACCAGCCCTACAAGAAATCCTGAGGGGGACTCTCTGAGGGAAATGTTGCAAGGAATGCAAGATACCAGAGACACCACCACAAGCATGAACCCCACAAAGGACACAATGACTCTAAACCCACATATTTCAATAATAACACTGAATATAAATAGGCTGAATGCTCCAATCAAAAGACATAGGGTAGTAGAATGGATAAAAAAAAAAGCAAAACCCATCTATTTGCTGCCTACAAGAAACTCATCTTAGACTGGAGGACACCTTCAGATTGAAAGTAAGGGGGTGGAGAAATATATATCATGCTACTGGAAGTCAAAAGAAAGCTGGAGTAATTATACTTATATTGGACAAACTGGACTTTAAATTAAAGACAGTAAAAAGGGATGAAGAAGGGCATTATATAAATAATTATACGGTCTACCCATCAGGAAGCACTAACAATTATAAATGTCTACACACCGAATATGGGAGCATCTAAATATATAAAACAATTAATCACAAACACAATCTTATGGATAAGAATGTGCCAATAGCAGGGGACTTTAATACTCCACCTACAGCAATGGATAGATCAACTAGAGAGAGAATAACTAAAAAAAACAATGGACTTGAATGACACATTGTACCAGATGGATTTGACAGATATATTTAAAACTCTACATCCTGAGGCCATGGAATTCACTTTCTTCTCAAGTGCACATGGCACATTCTCCAAGATAGATCACATACTGGGACATAAAGCAGCCCTCAATAAATAAGAAAGAATTGAGATCATACCATGTACACTTTCAGATCACAATGCTATAAAACTTGAAATCAATCACAGGAAGAAGTCTGGAAAACCTCCAAAAACATGGAGGTTAAAGAACACACATCTAAAGAATGAATGGGCCAATTAGGCAGTTATGAAGAAATTAAAAAGTATATGGAAACAAATGAAAAGAAAATACAAAAATCCAAACTCCATGGGATGTTGCAAAGGTAGTCCTAAAGGAAAGTACGTTGCACTCCAGGCTTCTTTCAAGAAATTAGAAAGCGCAAGTACAAAATCTAACAGCACACCTAAAGGAACTAGAGGGAGAGCAACAGGAGCACCCCAAACCCAGTAGGAGAAGAGAAATAATAAAAATCAGGAAAGAAATAAACAAAACAGTAACGAAAAAAAAAAAAAAACAGCTGAACAGATCAATGAAACCAAGATTTGGTTTTTTGAAAAGATGAACAACATTTACAAACCTCTAGCCAGGCTTCTCAAAAAGAAAAGAGAGAGCACTCAAAGCGACAAAATCATGAATGAAATAGGACTTATTACAACCAACACCTCAGAAATACAAGCAATTATCAAGGAATACTATGAAAAATTATATGGCAACAAACTAGACAACTTAGAAGAAATGGACAAATTCCTAAACACACACTCACTGCCAAAATTCACACAGGAAAGAATAGAAAATCTGAACAGATCCATAACTAGTGAGGAAATCGAATCAGTTATCAAAAATCTCCCAACAAATAAGAGCCCTGGGTCAGATAGCTTCCCTGGGCAATTCTACCAGACATTTAAAGCAGAATTAATACCAATTCTTCTCAAGCTATTCCAAAAAATAGAAATCGAAGGAAAACTTCTGGACTCATTTTACGAAGTCAGCATCACTTTGATTCCCAAGCCAGACAGAGACCCAGCAAAAAAAGAGAACTATAGGCCTATATACTTGATGAATACGGATACAAAAATCCTCAACAAGATACTTGCAAATCGAATCCAACAGCACATAAAAAGAATTATCCACCAAGATCAAGTGCGATTCATTCCTGGGGTACAGGGCTGTTTCAATATTCGCAAATCGATCAATGTGATACATCACATTAACAAAAGAAAAGATAAAAACCATATGATCCTGTTGATAGATGCAGAAAAAGCATTTGACAAGATATAGCATCGCTTCTCAATAAAGACCCTTGAGAAAATCGAGATAGAAGGAACTTACCTAAACATCATTGAAGCCATCTATAAGAAGCTCTCAGCTAACATCATCCTCAATGGGGAAAACTGAGAGCTTTCCCCCTGAGATCAGGAACACGACACAGATCCACTCTTACCACTGTTGTTTAACATAGTGCTGAAGTCCTAGCATCAGCCATCAGACAACAAAAGGAAATCAAAGGCATTAGAATTGGTAAAGAAGTCAAACTTTCACTTTTCGCAGACAGCATAATACTCTACATGGAAAACCTGACAGACTCCACCAGAAGCCTACTAGAACTGATCCATGAATTCAGCAATGTTTCAGGATACAAAATCAACGTACAGAAATCGGTTGCATTTTTATACACCAATAATAAAGCAACAGAAAGAGAAATCAAGAAACAGATCCCATTCACAATCGCACAGAAACCATAAAATACCTAGGAATCAACCTAACCAAAGATATAGGAGATCTGTATGATGAAAACTATAGAAAACTTATGAAGGAAATTGAAGAAGACACAAAGAAATGGAAAAACATTCCATGCTCACGGGTCAAAAGAATAAATATTGTTAAAATGTCATTACTACCCAAAGCAATCTACACATTCAATGCAATCTCAATCAAAATTGCACCTGCATTCTTCTCAAAACTAGAAGAAACTATCCTAAAATTTGTATGGACCCACAAAAGACCCTGAATCCAAAGTAATATTGAAGAAAAAAACCAAAATGGGAGGCATCACCACCTGAGACTTTAGCCTATACTACAAAGCTGTCATCATCAAGACAGTATGGTATTGGCACAAAGCAGACACATAGACCAATGAAATAGAATAGAGAACTCAGAATTGGACCCACAAATGTATGGCCAACTAATCTTTGACAAAGTGGGAAAGAGGATCCAATGGAAAAAAGACAACCTCTTTAACAGATGGTCCTGGGAGAACTGGACAGCAACATGCAGAAGCATGAAACAAGATCATTTTCTCACACCATACACAAAAATAAATTCAAAATGGATAAAGGACCTGAATGTGAGACAGGAAACCATCAAAACCCTAGAAGAGAAAGCAGGAAACAGCTTCCTTGACCTCCACCGCAGCAACTTCTTACTTGACACATCCCCAAAGGCAAGGGAATCAAGAGCAAAAATGAACTACTGGGACCTTATCAAGATAAAACGCTTCTGCATGGCAAAGGAAACAATCAATAAAATAATAGGCACCTGACGGAATGGGAAAAGATAGTTGCAAATGACATCTCAGATAAAGGGCTAGTATCCAAAATCTATAAGGAACTCATCAAACTCCACACCCAAAAATCAAATAATCCAGTGAAGAAATGGGCAGATGACATGAACGGACACTTCTCCAAAGAGGACATCCAGATGGCCAACAGACAGATGAAGCTATGCTCAGCGTCCCTCCTCATCAGGGAAATACAAATCAAACCCACACTGAGAACCATCTCACGCCGGTTAGAGTGGCTAAAATGTACAAATCAGGAGACAATAGATGCTGGCAAGGATGTGGAGAAACGAGCACCCTCCTACACTGCTGGTGGGAATGTAAGCTGGTGCAACCCCTCTGGAAAACAGTGTGGAGGTTCCTCCAAAAATTAACAATAGAATGCCCCTATGACCCAGCAGTAGCACTGCTAGGAATTTACCCAAGGGATACAGAAGTGCTGATGTCTAGGGGCACATGTACCTCAGTGTTCATAGTAGCACCCTCAACAATAGCCAAAACATGGAAAGAACCTAAGTGCCCATCAACGGATGAATGGATCAAGAAGATGTGGTATATTTATACAATGGAATACTACATGGCAATGAGAAAGAATGAAATCTGGCCATGTGTAGCAACATGGATTGAACTAGAGGGTGTTATGCTGAGGGAAATAAGTCAGGCAGAGAAGGACAAATACCATATGTTTGCACATTATAGGTGGATTAGGAGGAAGTTAACAGAGGATGAAGCAGGAGAAGAAAGGGAAAAGTAGTTGGGGAGAGGGGAGAAAGCAAACCATGAGAGATTCTTGAATGCTGAGAACAAACTGAGGGCTGAGGGGGGGTGGGTGAGAGGGGAAGGGGGTGATGGGCATGGAGGAGGGCACTTGTTGGGATGAGCACTGGGTATTATATGGAAACCAACTTGACAATAAACTATTTAAGGAAAAAGAAAAATAAATAAATAAATAAGCACTTTTTAAAATTAAAAATAAAAAAATCATGAAAACAATAAAAAGAAATATAATGAATTTTGGCTCCTTGATCTTTAGAAACACTGACATAGAAAAAAATATGTGTGATGGAATGGCTTATACTACCATTTAATATTAGAATTAGATAAGTCTATTGTCTACATCAGGGCTCAGCTAACTATTTTAATAAATAAATTGTATCAAAACACAGCCATGCCCATTTTTGTACATATTGTCTATGACTGCTTTCATACTACATGAGAGAGGTGAATTGCAACAGAGATCTTATGGCTATCAAAATATCCCAGGGAACATGTTTGCAGACCCCTAACCTAGAAAAGTGGATATACTTCAGCAAGTGAAATATGAAATTAGAATAGCCATAAAAACTACAAAATCACATAAGCCCATGTATAAAATAAGTCAAGTAATGGGTAAATTCTTAGAAATATCAACGGTATGGTTACTCCCAGAGTGCATTCATTTTCTTCTCATTGGCAAGAACTTACCAATCTAACTGCCAATAATTTAGACAGACAGATCTATTTTAACATATAGAAACTCAGACGTAGACTTTCCTTCTTCCCTGTCCTTCTTAACTTGGTCTTGGTCACATACCAGGTAAATATTACATACCTAGTAATACTTACATAGAAATTCAGTAAGGAATGAATCTCTGTTGCCCTAAAAATTTCTTTTCTTTTTAAAAATTTTTTAAGTTTATTTATTTATTTTGAGACAGAGAGGGAGAGCGAGAGAGAGAGAGAGAGCGCGCGAACGAGCACAAGCAGGGGAGGGGCAGAAACAGAGGGACAGAGGGAGAGAGAAAATCCCAGGCAGGATCTTCATTGTCAGCACAGAGCCCAATGCAGGGCTTGACCTCAGAAACCATGAGATCATGACCTGAACTAAGTCAAGAGTCAGATACTTAACCAACCGAGCCTCCTAGGTGCCCCTAAAAAGTGCTTTTCAAAAGTGCTATATACATAATTTAATGCTGATCTTAATTACTAGTAGTTGCTACAACATTCAAAACAGTGATTAGCTGAAGCAAATTTGGCAGGCTACAGAAATTTCCTGACAAATAACTAAGGTTTTAAAATGAATTTTTTTAAAGCTCAAGCAGAATAATTTGGATTATCTTTCCTAAGGTCATTTTAAAAGGTATTATATAACAGTGTTGATTACATGCAGGACCCTATATCAAACATGGAAGATGCCAAAGTAGCAGAATATAGCATCCCTTCAAGTCTTTGCATTATGGTGGAAATTTACATATAACTGCTAAGTAAGGGATTAACATTGTTGGAAGTAAACATTCATTTGACAATAACAAATGTTATCTTGGCATTTTTGGTCAATAAATTTGAAAATGATATTTAGAATAAGATGGAGGATAGTTGAAGGAATTGGGAACATGGGAGGCAAAGGACAGAGAGACTGTACCTAATCTAGTTTCTAAAAATGTCTGTGAGCTGATGTTTGTACGTACATTTGTATGTATGTTGCAACATACCTAGTAGATTTCTGCCTTCTCAAATAGCGTTTTCTTTCTATTTCCTGAATATATCTGATACATATACTTTGAAAAATCTAAAGCAGAAATTCAACTACCTTAAAATTCCATGTTTCTTATACATGGAGACTCAGAATCCTATGAATGTATTATATACAACACACATGAACATACATACATGTTCTAAGCTATAAAGTGATCATAAATGTTCCTTTTAACTTTACATATAATATTCACTCAACATATCTTTGTTGAACATCTCCCACATGCCAGGCACCATGAAAGGTGCTAGGTATTAAATTTGAATGAGATACTTCCCTATTTCAAGGAATGAAAAACTAGTTGAATAAAAACAACATATCCCAGGAGCACCTGGGCAGCTCAGTAGGTTAAGTATCTGACTCTTAACTTCAGCTTAGGTCATGATCTCACAGTTTGTGAGTGAAGCGCCACATCAGGCTCTGCGCTGACACATGGAGCCTGTTTGGGATTCTCTCTCTTTCTCTCTCCCCCCCCCCCCGCTCCATTTACATCTCTCTCTCTCTCTCCCTGTCTCTCTGTCTTTTTCTCTCTCAAAATAACTTTTAAAAAATCCCCTACCACATTCTTTAGTAAAATAGCTCATAAGAAAAAAAAAGTTGTAACATATTAAGCATCCCTATCATATAAATACTTCCATGAAAAAAAAAAAACCCACATAGAATGTTTACAAAATACATTTTAGTATCTGTATACAATATCAAATTCTGTACATTAATGTTGAAAATCCTTGGTTTAATATCTGGTGAGATTAAACAGAGTTCTGAGGAAGGTGTCATTTGTCATGAAGTTATTTATGCAAGAGTAACCATGATGTGGAAAATGACAATCCAAAAAGGAAGAAAAAAGACTACTTAAAGTTAAGGTGTGATGATAAAAACATAGAAGAGAAAAAGGCACAATGAGTGATAGGATTGCACTTAGTAAGTAACATACTTAAAGTTTAAATGACTTTCTGGGGCCCCTGGGTGGCTCAGTCAGTTAAACATTCGACTTCAGCTTAGGTCATGATATCATGGTCTGTGGGTTTGAGCCCTGCATCGGGCTCTGTGCTGACAGCTCAGAGCCTGGAGCCTGTTTCAGATTCTGTGTCTCCCTCTCCCTCTGCCCCTCCCCAGCTCGCGCTCTCTCTCTGTCTCAAAAATAAGTAAATGTTAAAAAAAAAAAGTTTTTTTTAAAGTTTAAATGATTTTCAAAACATCACATAACTCTCACTGCTGAACTATAGGCTGTGTTCAAACTACACAAACTATAGGTTGTGTTCAAAATTCTCACCAAAATCTGAGTATCTGTATCCTTTTCTTGGACCATCTGAATTGCTTTTGCCAGATCTTCTTCACCTTCTGGAATGCTAAAATTGTCATCTGGTATCTAAATCAAAGAGAAAGAGTATAGAAAGAGTAAGCATGGAATATAAAAGTACCTTACTTCATTTTAGAAATAATTTTTCCTCATAAAATAAAAGATCCCAAAAATATACGCCTTATGTAAGATACCAGGTCATTCTGAAGTTCTCTGACAAACGTATAACCAAGCAGGAAGCTTTCTGACTTCCTCGTAAACATCATCAATGTCACTTCTGATAAATTCGAGATCAGTTTAGGGGCATCTGCTCTTATCTATAATGGCAAATGTAGTCTAACAACTCTACTGAGAAAAAATGTAAGGCCATTTCTTTTTCATAACTATCAGTAACTGCAAATCTCTAGTTTATTAAAAAATAAATAAATAAAATTCACTGCCGGAGTGTTAAGCTCTTGGAAAAATGCAATTGACTCTAATTATGATAATAATGATGGTTAACACTCACCACCTGCTTGTTACATGCTGATGAGTTTTATGTATCTTATATTAACTCCTTCAGTAATTTCATATGGCACATATTCATAATATCTCTATTTTACTAGTATAATAAAAAGTTTATCTACTGTTTGTTCATTTACTTGCTCAGGCCACAAATTGCTGCGCTTGTTTCCACAGTCTTACTTGCAGTGCCTGTCATTTAGGAATGACTCTATGTGCCAAGTCTCAGAAGGAGCGAGAGGTCCTATCCAAACAGTGAATGAAAGGAAAGATTTGAGGCAGTAACTACATTACCCACAGAATTAGAATTAAGCTGAAAGGAAGCATGGGATCTGAGCTACAGCCAGTAGTGGGAATCTGGAAAACCTATCCAAGAGCAGAATGGATGTTTGGGAAGGAAAGCCTGCTGGATGGGCAGTCTGGAGTTAGGATCCAGAAGAGAGGGGATAAGGAGGTAATTCTGAAGCACAATTAACAGGAAAACCAAAAGAGCCAGATGGATTAAACAATCTAAACTTTCAAACAGAACTTTCACACTTCACTTTTAACCAGCTGATATTAGCTAAATTCAGTTGAAAAACTAACATGTCTTAAGGAAAACAAAATATATATATATAAAATAAAATGAATATTTCATTAGAATGACAATGAATTTACAGAGTAAATATTTAAAATGAAATAATTACCTCTTCATATTCATAATCATCTTCAGATGCCTCAGTTATGGTGACCTCTGAAATCATGTCAAGTTTCAATCTCAAAATATACAGAATAAAATGATTTATTTAAAATTGATTTGACATTAAAATTCAGTATTAGATCCATTTATTTTACCAAGTTGGTAAATGTAATTTAAGCTCTTTTTAAAATTGATCTTCCCCATACAACCTACAAATATAGATTTTTTAAAAATATTTTTTAATTTATTTCTAGGAGAGAGAGAGAGAGAGACAGCGTGAGCAGGGGAGGGTCAGAGAGAGAGGGAGATACAGACTCTGAAACAGGCTCCAGGCTCCAAGCTGGCAGTCAGCACAGAGCCTGACGCGGGGCTCGAACCCACGAACCGCGAGATCATGACCTAAGCGAAAGTCGGACGCTTAACTGACTAAGCCACCCAGGTGCCCCTTCAAATATAGATATTTTAAAACAAAAAAATTTTATTATTAAACTATTGCTCTACACAACCCAAACCTATGAAAAACTACATTCCCACACATCTATTTACTATCTAATGAGTTCCAACTTGGTTCTAAGGCCTACAAAAAAGTACATGATATATATGAGATAGTGTAGATTAGAAAGAAAAAAGAAAAATTATGCACAAGAAAGCTATGACAGTAAATTTTTTTAATTTATCTTAAACTAACTTAATTTCTCAGAGCTCCAGAGTTATTTATAGTGCACTGTGACTTCTTAAAGTATTAACGAATTTCTAAAAAGCACATCAATATTCACATATAAGTAAAAAAACAGATTTCACTGTTTTCATAGTAAAAATTACTTAAATCTCTATTTATTTATTATATATTCCAATTTTAAAATTAAACTCATTCTGAGGAAAGGCAGCCGAATTTTTAAGCAAAGTAAACTATACAGTAATCATAATTCAGTGCTTCTTAAAGTATCAAGAAATAAGCATTAAAATACCAATGGAAATGACTAATAAAAAATTCTAACAGGGGTGCCTGGGTGGCTCAGTCAGTTAAGCATCTGACTTCGGCTCAGGTCATGATCTCACGGTTCCTGGGTTTGAGCCCCGTGTTGGGCTCTGTGCTGACAGCCAGCTCAGAGCCTGGAGCCTGTTTCAGATTCTGTGCCTCCCCCTCTCTCTGACCCTCCCCTGCTCATGCTCACTCTCTCTCTCTCTCTCTCTCACTCTCTCGCTCTCTCAGAAGTAAATAAAACATTTAAAAATTAAAAAAAAAAATTCTAACAGCATTGTTGTAAGACTTTCAAAAATTGTAAGTAAATTTAATTACAAATAAAAACTTCAAGATAACATTTAATTTTGAAAGCAATCACAACATATACCATTAACATTTTATTGGTTGGTGGGTTTACATTTCTCTCCACATATACAGATGTGATTATGATTATGCTAAGCTCAAAATGTATAAAATTAAACACTTTAAGGCATAGTAAAGGTTACCAAAATCAAAGATGAGATTAGCCTAGTTTTCATTTTGCTGCTGGTTAAGAGAAATTATCTTCTAAGAGTTAGCTAAAAGTGTATATAACAACTCACACTATTTATAATAAGAACTGATATCACTTATGCAGTATTTAATAGAAGCCAGACACTGTCCTTCATCCTCATCATATCTACAAGCTCTTATCATCATCTCCACTTTACAAATCAGGACTCACAAGCACAAGGCCACACAGGTAGGAGCTAACACAGTTGGTAATAAGCCCCAGAAGTTCAGGTTTAACTATACTTAAGCCTCTCTTGTTATTCCATATTCATTTTCTATGCTATGTAAACACTTGAAGTGTTTGCCAGTTATCAGTTCTAAACCTCTAAATGATAGGCTATCCAGCTTTGTTACTCAGCTCCATCATAACCAGTAACTCTTCACTGTTTACTCGATCCACTTGAAGAGACATTTAAGCCTATTTATTTATTATTTATTTATAATATATAAATTATATAAAATATAAATTATTATTTATTTATTTATTATTACAAAAGTAATACTGGGTCAAAAATAACTAATTAATTTAACTGATTAAATAACTAATTAAAAACTAATGTGGTAGATTAAACTACTACAGAAAAAAAATATACATACTTGCAGCTGATCCTAGAATACCCATGTTGGACACAAGGAGTGAAGTACCTACCTAAGTTAGTTAATCTAATACTATGGAACAGTTTCCAATAGCACTTGCCTCACCTTCCTTTCTTTAGTCCCTTGCCAGAAGCCTTCTTAAAAGACCACCAGGCTTCCACTAATAGTCTGTTCAAGGTATTTAGCTTTCATTAACATCCTACTTAAAGAACTTCTAACATTTGTCCTATTTCAGTTCCAGAGCCATTCTAAATACTCTGAAGTATTTCTTATGTTAGAACCCCACTTTCAAGCACCAAAATCTGTACTTTTTATTATTGGTGCTTAACAAACTCTCCAAACCTTAAGGCTTAACAGTTTATCTCACAGTTTCTGTGCTCAAGAATTCAGCAGGCTTAGCTTGTGGATTTTGATTTGGGGCCTCTGATGAGACCTCAGTCAAGATAGCATAGCAGCTTGTGCTGCAGTCTTCTGAAGGCTCAGTGGAGGCAAGAGGATCCATTTCAAAGATGGCTCTGACATTGCTGGCTAAAGGTTTCAATTCCTCTCCATGTGGGTCTCTCCACATGCTTCTTCAGCATTCTCAAGATATAGTGGCTAGCTACCCCCAGAATAAGCAATATAAGAAAACAAAGTGGAGACACAATGTCTTTTATGACCAAGCCTCAGAAGTCACACATCATCATTTATTCATTATCCTATTGGTTACATATATCAACCCTATTCAGTACACAAGAAAACTAAATAAGAGCATGACGACAAGAATGTGAGGATTGCTATGAAAGCTGCCTACCACAGATACCTTAAGGGGTTTCAAGAGTATTAAAAGAGTTAATGAATATAATTCATTTAGAATGGTGCCTAGCTTAGCGTAAATGCTATGCAAGTATTTGTTATTATTTTCCTTGTTCTAGAAAGAGACGAGTACCAGTGGAGAAGTCTCATAAGTCTCTCATGGCCCTGTTCTCCCAGGCTTTAAAATGAATAGATTAATAAAATTCACTCTCAATCTTCCTCCTTTCTAAGTTTAGATTTTTCTGATACATTTTCACTCAATTAGATAAAATTTCCTGAAGTTCAGCTACAGAAAATCAGTCTCTTTTTTATGGAAAAGTATGCCCTCTTCTTCATGACAGTTACCAAAACTTGACTTTGTATGAAGTCATTTGTCTTTAAGTCTCCAGAAAAGCAATGCCATCCTTCATCACTGCTCATACCATAATAAATTTCACAAAGAAGTAAATATTCTAAAATTATTTAGAGTTTAAAATTGCAAATTAGTCAACTGATAAGATTAATGTGAAAAAAAAAAACATCAAAGTATAGGTTGTTAAACATAGCAATATGCAGAGGAAAACAATTTGTCCTCAAAGATTTGGAAATATCAAACACTTGTCATACTGCTACCCAGAAAATATGTGAGGAAACAGTGTTCAAACCCTAATAATATATTGTTTCCCCCAAATCAAAACAGTAAGTGAAAAAGTAACTACCATTTTATAAAGCTTAAAAAGTTTTGCCATATGGATCATTCTCATATTTATTCTCACAACAATCCTCTGACATTGAATAACACAGATATAATCATTTCTAAATAAAAAATAAAAGAAACTTAAGGAGGTTAAGATATTTGCCCAAAATCATGTACCTATAAGTGACAAAGACAAGTTTCTTCAATAAAAATATCAGGAATTTTCTACAATATCATATTGTGTCTACAGGGACACAAGAATGTGAAATTTTTACCAAAATCCTAGGTAATGAATCCTCACCTATTTTCCAAACCTTCAAGTGCTATATTACCAACAGCTAAATCAAATCATTTAAATAGCTCAATTTGAAGGACCTAAAGGAAAGAGAAGTATAAAAGAGGGCTACAAACCCAAAGATTAAATTAGCCAAGGGTAAGAGATCAATGAGACTAAAGGTCAGGAACAGGACAAACATCCAAAATAGGAACCACTATTCTCCTTGATTGGTTATTTTCAGTATCTGCAAAAATGATTCACACACAAAATCTTCCCAAGAGCAACTGAGTTGAACTGTGATGTTGCAGTGTTACTGAAGAAATAAATGTACTTTGGCACGTGTGTTTGTATGCATCTGTCTATCTGGCTTAGCTGGCTAGCAACACATGGACAAATGCACAAATGAATCCCCAAATGATTGTGTGGCAGTTTACAAATATGCATATAGTACAAAATATAAAAATAAGTAAATATGGAAATTTAAAGTGAAAGAACAGAAATAAGATAAAGGTTAAGATACAGCACATGCCATAAAGTCTCATGAACTTTGCCAAACATAAGCCACAGGTTTGACCCAAAGCTTCCCAGCAGTCAGGGTAAAGAGGGGAATGTAATCAGATACCAATTCAGTATCTATCCAATGAAAACAGATGAGTTTCTCAGCAGATGTACAGCAATTTCTGGTTGTGAAGCCTGTGAGAAATTACACTATCCCCTTCTCATAAAGAGAACACTGTGCATTGTACTGATATTGATTCCCTTGGCCATTGGGGCAGCCAGAAACACTGAGTAAAGCAGGAATTGATGGAACACCATGTGTAAAAAAAAGGTTGGAAAACTGCTTTAGAAGCAATGTTGCCAGAACAGGAATAAGCAATTGACCAAGAATTGCCTGAATGATAAAAACCTTTTACTCTCATTCTACTTTTACTGGACAACTTTCTCATGTGTAATTTAATCTCTAAGGTGATCCTATTCTGCAGGAAATGTCCATACAATTAAGCTGGTCACAGTTCTCAGGCAAAGTGATTTTTTTTTCCATTGCAGAATAAGCCAGAATTCTGACTTAAAATCAGTTTCTTAATGCCAAGAAAAACTTCCTTCTTATTATCTGTCTAGTATTCCTTCAAAGACCATTGTTAAACTCCATTTTCAAAATTCATTTTTCCCTCCTTTCTGTTCTCTTTAGAACT